GTGTGTGTGTGTGTGTGTGTGTGTGTGTGTGTGTGTGTGTGTGTTTTATTTATTTGTTTTAAAGTACCAATTTAAATACCGTTTAGGAACCGGTACCGTTTTGAAAGTATCGATTTAGCACCGGTATCGAAATATACTCTTTCAAAACCCAACCCTAAGTGCAATAATGTCTTCTCAGGAGAATCATGGTAGTTTACAGAGTAGTGAGACCTTTGAAGCAATAAAAATGTGGAGAGATGGAGGAAGTTCAGGTGAAGTCTGAAATTAGTTTAGTGAAAAATGTATTAGCTTGTTGATGCTTTTTAAACATATTTTTTTATCAAAAGAAGAACTGATTAATTGAAGACTGAGGAGAACAGGTGGATCAGGGTGTGAGGTCCTGTTTAAAAACCATATTAAGTATAACAGATGCATAAAGAAGAGGTGAGGACTGATGTCAGGTTGATGTTTCATTATTTCCACAGTTAGAAGGGTTTTTGTTAGGTTGTGATCAGGTTGTCAGCTGCAGAACAACGCCCCACTAGAGTTCTGTACATTTGTCTGGTGAAATGCATCTCCATAGTGATCAATAAGTGAATTTATTTCTTAAGTTTATAATGAGCCACCTTTAGGTTCAGGAGTGTACCTCATCTCTGAAGCCATTTTGAATGTTTAGCAGCAGGGGCTGCACAAAGGAGAGGAGAGGAGCTACAGAGCTGGAGCTGTTGAATTAAATTAGTGAAAACTGTAGGTTATGCTGTAAACAGAGCTAATGCTTACATCTGTAAATCAGTTGTATGATTAAAAACCTTAACAGGTACTTTCAGCTTCTGTAAGACTTGCTGGTGCTGTAGTTTACAGTATGTAGTGTTCTCTGTTGTGTGCTGACGTCATGCAGGGACATGAGAGGCAGGAAGTCAGAGTGAGGGAGAGACAGGAGCAGACCCACAGGTAAGAGAGAGGAACACAGAACAGATATTTTATATTAGAAAATCTTCTGATGACAATAATATTTGTAAATATTACAATGAAGATATCAGATGTGATCTATGTCTTTTTTCTTTCCTCTCTTTCTTATCTGTACTTCCTATTTTATGTGACTTTTAGTATTTTAGGTCAGGTGTGAGCTTTTGCTGCCATGAGATCCTGTCCTACTGGTTAAATATTGCATTAGTGTGACAAATACAACTTCAAACCTCTTCAAGTACATTACTCAACAATTATTGTGCATTAAGAAGTCATTTGCGGTATGAATATTGCTCTCTGACGTTGTGATGACAATATATTCGTCATGCTGTGCAATATTAGACTCAGGATATTTTGTTGGTTGGTTTACCTACATCACCATTTTTTCAAGAAAAGATCCAATAGTTTTGCAGTGTAGTTGATTTGATAAGGCAGTGGATGTGGTCTGTGCAAGATTGAAATCAGACACCACTCTCAGCAGCAGAACCACACTTTCCACAGAACAAGTGTGCCAACTCCTCAAACTGTGTCTGGAGTCAACCTACTTCATGTACGGGGGGCAATATTATAGGCAGAAACATGGGTGTGCCATGGGATCCCCAGTTTCTCCTATTGTTGCAAACCTGTACATGGAGGAAGTGGAAAAGAGAGCCTTGATGTCCTTTTCAGGGGTGCCARCGAGCCATTGGTTCAGATATGTTGACGACACCTGGGTTAAAATTAAAGTCCAGGAAGTCCAACATTTCACTGATCACATCAACTCTGTGGATGAATATATTAAGTTCACATGAGAGGATGTAATAAATGGCAGGTTGGCGTTCCTGGATTGCGATGTCTCGGTTTCGGATGGAGGACGGTTGGAAACTGGCGTGTATCGTAAGCCCACCCACACAGACCAATATTTGCGTTTTGACTCCCACCACCCACTGGAACACAAGTTAGGAGTGATCAGGACTCTGTACCACAGAGCAGACAGTGTCCCTACAAACCCAGGAGCCAGGCAGAAAGAGAAATCACACACACGACAGGCCCTGGAGCAGTGTGGTTATCCTGACTGGGCTTTCCTGAAAGCAGACAGGAAACACAGACAGGATTCCATGCAACCTTCAGGTGAAAATGAAGACCCCAAACCCAGACCCAAACCAGTGGTTATTCCGTATGTTGGGGGTGTTTCGGAGAAACTGAGACGTTTATTTTCTAAACATGATGTCCCAGTAGCTTTCAAACCCCAAAACACATTACGGCAAAGGCTGGTTCACCCCAAAGATCCGGTGCCCCGGCACAAACAGAGCAATATTGTATATGCTGTTAAGTGCCAGGAGGACTGCGACCAGTTATACATCGGGGAAACAAAGCAGCCACTGTTCAAAAGAATGTCCCAACACAGACGAGCTACATCTAATGGCCAGAACTCTGCAGTTTTCACTCATTTACAGGCCAGCGGTCACTCTTTCAGAGATGAGGATGTTCTCATTCTTGATAGGGAGGAACGTTGGTTTGAGAGAGGAGTAAAAGAAGACATTTTTGTGAAGAAAGACCGTCCATCATTAAACAGAGGTGGAGGCCTCCGTTTTCAGCAGTCCCCCTCCTACAGTGCTGCTATTGCCAGTATCACTCCACCCCTGTTAACAATAGGTGTTAATTAGGTGTCAACGATAGCCATGTGATGTGAGTATCAGTCACATGGAGGCAGGACTCAAAAGCCTGAATTTAGCCTGAAACTCTCAGACTGAAGAAGTCTCTTGGAGGAGAGACGAAACGTTTCATTAGAGAAGAACCCGTCCAGAAGACCTATACTATTTTTTTATTTGTGATTTTTTACCTGGATTACTGAGATGCATCAGGACATTGATTTATGACATATTTCTGCTCAGACAGTGCACAAATCTGTCAGGTTTCCAATATTATGTGTCCCCCCTCAAAAGTAAACTCATTCCTACACCCTTGGCTGCTGGTTAGTTAACTCAGAAACACCACAAGCAGGAGGATGCATTGGCAAATATGTGTTTTAAACTATAAGAAAACTAATACTAGAACTAATAAAAACCAAAACTAAGCCGAAAACAAACAATAAAAATTAATAAAAACTAGCAAATCCACTGTAAAAGCTAATAAAAACTAACTGAATTCAAAGGAAAAAAGTCAAAATGAAATAAAACTAAACTATAATGAAAAAATCCAAAACCATTATAACCTTGCATGGAGTCTCATAATTATTTTATAATGGTTGAGCAGATTGTGTCCAGTTAGTACTTAGAGTTTTCCTTGTCAGAGCAAGAAGAGCTTTTCCAACCTAGGATTTGAGCCGTTAATCAGTTCCCGTGCCTGTCTACAGTCCGTCAGCTCCCTCCAGAGGACTAATCCAGACCTGTAGGGCAGTCCTACAGACTGTTGTTGAAGTACCTACAACAGGCTCTGGTCCTTTGAAGTGAGCCTGACTGCCAGCTCTTGTGTCAGCTCTCTGGTTACCATAAATGCCAGTATGAAAAGGAAGGATTTAAAAGCATGATGTGTCTACTTTAACCCTCCCTCTGAACTGGGCCGTGTTTTCCTGCAGCTCTTTATGAACCAGTCTGTCTGTTTTCAGCGTGAACCACATCTCCTGCCCGGTTCTGATTCTACACGCAGAGGACGACGCCGTGGTTCCCTTCCACCTCGGGAAAAAGGTATGAATCTGGACTTTACAGAACCAAAGATAAATCCCACAGAGACTCTGTTCTGGTTACCAGTTCCCAGATGGACCTGAGAGCTGGTGACAGCCGGTGGTGGGCAGCGCTAATCCAAAAATTAGCTCCGCAATTTCTAAAGTACTTACATAAATATTTAGGTCCGCAACTTCAAAGCACTTATACCATAGAAAAACTAGCGGAAGCTAATTTTATAGCGCAAGTTCAATTTGATACTTAATAGCTGACAATAATTCATGTACATTACAACACTGCCAACTAGTGGTGTAAGAACTCTTACAACTTAATCCTACAACTGCCAATAGCTGAGGATGTGATTTCCTGAAACAGACCTTTAGCTCCTGGTGTAAAAATTAAAAAGTTGTTGAGGATTGCTAGTTCGGCTGCTGCTTTGTCTTTTTCTTTTGTTTCTTGTAGATTTTTCATTAAAGAAGCATCAATAAAGTAATTTTAAAACTGTTTATTGGAAAACTGAAGCAATGCATTCTGGGTACATGACAGATTTGATTTGTGACAGGAAATGAAAGTTTTCCATGTAGTTTCTCCAGTTGACCACTAGATGTCAGTCTTCATCAGCATAACATCTTTAAATCATTTCTGAGTCTCTAACCCCGTTGCTTTGACCAATTACGTCAAGTATTGAGCTCCAGCGTTTAAACTTTATTTTTTTTTTAAAAAAGGAGCTCCGATTGTAAAGTAAAATAAATCAATACATACAAAATTTTGGTATGGATTACAAACGTTWACTGTTTTTYCTGGGACAGGGAGTTCTAAACATTGCCTTCCTGCTACGTAAGCAGACACAAAGCATTGTGGGAAATCAGAACCGTGACCCAAAGCAACAGTCAGCAGGATGTATACCTTCACAATAAGTGTGTTTATCTGGGAGGGGTGCTGTTGGATAGATCACATGTGTTGTGATTCATTGACAGTCATACCTTCTGCTGTTCAACATAATGATGACTGGTAGATAATTAGTTATTAGTGAAACTGCTTTTTAATTTTAGAAAGCGCAAATCTGTTATGAATTATAAAAATTAGAAAGACCGCTAAAGCGCAAATGAAATATTTAGGTCCGCAATTAGCGGATTTGCCCTTTAGCGGTCTGGTGCCCACCACTGGTGACAGCAAAGTCCACCATGGTTCTGTTCTGATCAGGAAGGAAACAAGTAAAACTGAGAACTTTTTAGGAATTTTCATTTTAGAGAAAATCTCACCTTTTGTCAACAGAAGAGTTTTTGTTCCATGTTCTGAAAAATGCAGTAAAAAAAAAAGTTAAATAACAAAACTCTGCACTAAACAATACATTTCTAAACATTTTTAACTTTTGTAGTACTTGAAATGTTTTATAAAAGTTTTGTTCAACAGTTTAAAAGTGTTTTACAACCAGTCTGATCCTCTGATTCTGTGGATATTTTCTGTTTGAAACTTTAGTAAAACGTGAGTAAATAATTTAAATAACTGAATTTAAATGTTTCAGTTCTCTTAGAGATTTAAATCCTAGAAGAAGTAGTCACGTTGTGAACTCTTTGTCCTCCTGCAGCTCTATAACGTGGCGTCTCAGTCCAAGAGTCTCAGTGGACACAAAGTTCAGTTTGTTTCGTTTCCCTCGTCTCTCTCCTACAAACACAAGTTCATCTACAAGAGCCCGGAGCTGCCCAGCATCCTCAGGTGTGGAGCAGGAACGTCCTCACAGCTCCCGGTCGTAATGATGGTGCTCTCATCACGTTCTGTTTTTATTTCCAGTGATTTCCTGGGAGCAGCTCATCCCATCGCTGCATGACCTGAACAGACTGTTTACGCCTCGTTTTCTACAAACAATCACAGAACTGAACATTCCTTCGTTAGCAACACTCACACACACCCAGCCGCCTCACACACTGGAGTTACAGGGTTATCATGGGAACAGTTTTAACGTCAGAAGAATCACTCCAACCTGCAGGACGAGCAAACAGGACGGAAAAGTTTTTATTTAGTTATTCTGGCAGCTGAGCTGCTAACTCTCCTTCATGTGCATGGTTTCTTCTTCTGTTGTTTTTACTTGATCACAGGACTCACCTCTCTGCAGGTGGTCGTTTGTAAAACTTTTGTTTGAAGGCTGCTATGACTTGAAATATGAATTAAATAATTATTTTATAAAGCTGCCTGTGTGTCATTTATTCACGGAAATTCAACAGTAACGTTGCACGAGTCAGAGAAATTAAATGCATGATAAATAAAAAAATAGATCTGATGAAATAAAGAGCTAAAAGCAGTTTGAACATGCTGTATTAGCATAAACTAAATGTGCATTTTTCAAAGGAAATATCATCTGTGGTGGGAAGAGTACTAAACAAGGGCTATTCTAGGAGCTGACCATTAGTCCTTAGTGGCTCGTGACTTGAACAATGTGGCAGCCACATAAGTTGACATAAAGACTGCACACAGGCACAGGTCATAAAATTAGAATATCAAGACAAGGTTGATTTATTTCAGTATTTCCATTCAAACAGTGAAACTTGTGTTTTATATTAATTTATTACACACAGACTGATATATTTCAAATGTTTATTTCTTTTAATTTTGTTGATGATAACTGACAAAGAATGAAAAGATTTGGTAGAAAAAAGTGTAGAAAAATAGGTACAACCGCACACTGGAGAGGATCATGAAACAACCCATTCAACAATGTAGGGTGCATCACAAAGAGTGGACCGTAGCTGGAGTCAGAACTTCAAGAACTACCAAATACAGACATATGAAGACATGTTTCAGCTGTCTCACAGACATATGAAAACATGGTTTCAGCTGTCGCACAGATGTATGAAGACATGTTTCAGCTGTCTCACAGACATATGAAGACATGTTTCAGCTGTCTCACAGATGTATGAAGACATGTTTCAGCTGTCTCACAGACATATGAAGACATGTTTCAGCTGTCTCACAGACATATGAAGACATGTTTCAGCTGTCTCACAGACACATGAAGATGTTTCAGCTGTCTCACAGACACATGAAGATGTTTCAGCTGTCTCACAGACACATGAAGATGTTTCAGCTGTCTCATAGATGTACGAAGACATGTTTCAGCT